TGGATTTAGAAATGAGTACCATATTCGTAATGAGCACCTCGAATACCTCGAAAATGATTCCCATATTGCATTTATTTGAATAGTCGTGTCCGTCATCGTGTATTCAGATATAAATGCCATTTCCATAAGCATTACCAAAAATAAAATTTTAAAATTCTTGTCACTTAACATTGTCGATCGACAAAACCGAGCATATCTGTAGGCACCTGATCGACATTGTCGATCGACAAAATCCAGCAAATCTGTAGGCACCTGATCGAAAATGTCGGGCAAATCTGTAGGCACCTTTAACTTAATGATGAGTTAAGCAAGATACAATTTCCCCACTTTTGAGGGAAATGTTATTCCATGGCATCATTATTTGTATTTTTGTGTGCGTGCCGACGAGCGTAGATACAAGTTGCTTACGCCTACATGAATTTGATTTTTGCCTCAATTGTGACAGTTCGTTTGATATGAAGCTATCATTCTATGCGTTATTATTCTAAGGCGTTAAAAGACTTCGACTCGAATTAGTCTCCAGTTAAAACTAAACTAAAGTTTTATGACTCAAGACTTGAGGGTTGAAAGACTAGACTAACACGCAAAATAGGCGCCTTTTTTTTTTTTTTTTAATACATGACAGGCAAATGACTCCACTCCACCTGATGTTAAGTGGAAAGTGGTATCCAAACTTGACGTCGAGTTGCGGACACCAGCCCGTTACACCAAGTACCAAGTACCAAGACTAGACTAGTTGTGAGGCGTTCAAAATTAGTCGAGGTTTTTTAAAAGGGCTTAGAAGACTGAGTCTCTTTCATCACTATTGCCATCTGTTGGCCATTTCGAATATTGTTACGAGTTAGTATTGCGGGTTTATTTGGTACCATCTATTGATCAGCGTTAAGAATCAAAATAAGCGTCCAAATAAGAGGAGTTACGGGTGCGACATTTCTTGTATGAGATTGTGTTTCTATAGTATTATATTATCTGTGGTTTAACAAACCAAACATGTACCTGATGTTCAAACATTTGCTGGTGACTCATCATCAGTTCGCGAATCCTCAGCCATTCATTTATGGTGCCGTCAACAGAAGCATCGCCACCCCAAGTACGTAACATATGACCTTTTCTTTTTAGACATTCTACCAATTTAGCTATCTGAAAGATTAAATTAACATATCATTTTTATTTTTCATTTTATTTATCTAACAGGGATAATGAATTGTATATTTTAGCGATAACTGCTGTTGTTTTAAACTCGATCACTGCGATAGCGATGAATTGTTGTTCTATCAAAATATTGTCATTGCTTTTACAGATTTTTTTTGATAACCTAAAACGTGTAGTGATTTGAGAGTTTAGGGTTCAGCCATTAAATAGATATTACCTCAGGCATTTTACTATGTAAGGCCTGCTGTTTAGCGCTTATCTCGGACAGTTCTTTGGCATTCTTAGGCAATGTTTTCTCTTCCAACATAACCGTCGCATTAGCTACAAACGTACTCAATGTTGCCGTGTCATTCCTACAGCTAGTTTGCAAGGACGACATGAGACAAGCCCAGAGATTGCGTGCTTGTGCTTCGAATTCACGTCGAAGTGTAACTGTGCCTACAATAATCCAGTCTATTTTCTCGTCTTCACTGTAAAAAAATTCAAAGTTTAATGACTTATAAGATGTGAAAAATGGAAAAAAGTAATAAATTGTTTCATAATAAATAGGTAAATCCTGAATTTTACTCACAAAGACATCTTAGCAACAGCTTGTCCATAAGCCTTACAAGCCTTGAAATTTAGCTCCCAGTCCTGGGGTTCCCGCAAATGTTCATTGCACAAAGCTTCTAAATCCGGCACGCAGCCGAGCGCGGCCCTTTGTGTCCATGATTCGCAACAACGCTCCAGTGATGACAGAGCCGCTTCTAGTTGTTTTACTGCTTTGTTACCTAACCAGCCATGCCTAAAATCATTTGATATGTTGTACTAAAACAGACTAAATAAGCGTGAATGTAACGTAATGTTGTCTTGTCTACAGTTTTTCTCCCGGTAAGGATTATATAGTATAACTGTTAAATTATCGAAAGTACCCAATCAGAGTTCATAGTCATGTCGTCATGGCAGTCTGACAGTCGCCTATTGGTCACGTTTTCTGTGGTATTTACACGTTTTATGACATAAAATGAAGATAAACACTTACTTTTCAACGATGCTAGTAAAAATAGACCGTTTTTCTGCAACAGAAGGTTGTAACCCAACGAATTGACCAGGCAGTGAGACAAGTCGACGCAACTGATGGTAATGTTGGACTCGAATTTCTTCCAACGGAGGTTGGACGCGTACCGTGTGACCGCTGAAATAAATTTAACTTCATAAAGGTAGCGTATATACGTACCTATGCATAAATAACCATTCCTTTTCTTTCGTAATTCATAACGACGATGACGCTAATTTCATAAAGATAGTAAGACTTGTTTTCCACGCAAAATAAGCGCTTTGTATCAAGTACGAAGTAAGACATGTTTTCAACTAAGAACTTTACTTTTTATTACTTTCAACACAATCACAAGACAATAATGCAAATTAAATGGTTTGTATTCTTCATTCAAATTTATCATAGAAAATGTACGACTATTCAAAACTTACCGCAAAACTAAATCCACTTTTACTAGAGGGAAATGTTTATGCAAAGAAAGCAAAGTCTTTATGTACTGACACTCCAGAGCTTTGTACAGCTGCCAGTCACAATGCGATCTCCACAGTTCCGTGTTTTTATAGCCGTTTGCTTCTACCCTTTCTATAATCTCCCTTATATCAGTGATTTTCTTTTTCCACTCTGATTGTTTGACTAGGAGTTCAGTGTCCACTAATTTTTCTACAATACTCTTGATCGTCATATGTTGGCTGGTTAAGTAAGTATTCTGAAAAATATCCACGTAAAGTCATAAAAGTAAATGTAAATACATTGTTTACTTCACAATATTGTCTCAAATACCTGTGACTCAAGTTTCATGATGATTTTCTTAAGTTTATCAGTATAATTGACGAGCTGTTCAGTGTCGTTCCAGTATACGGCTTTTTGTTCTTGTACGAGTGAAGATAGATCTAACGCAGCTTGTAGCATCATTGGTCGAGTAGATGGTATCATCCGCTCACCTAAAGTGTTGTGAAATGAAGCCACCTACGTGGGTGAAATTATTGATATCACTTTTTGACTTAGAGAACAATATGATAATAATGCCGTGATTTGAATGAAGCAAGACTCTGCGATTTAGACTGTAATGTCATTCTTTTCCAATAATTGGTCATTCAGCTCTCTGCAACTTGAAGCTACTTCAGTTAGTGCACAACGTTTATGAATTTGATTGTTTATAAGGGTAATTCGATATAACAGCTAATGACATATTTTTGGTCGTAATAATGCTCAACAGATATAATTAGTTTATGATATAAAGACCTTCGAAATATTCTTGCGTGGTATAAAGTATCGTTGGGTATAATAAACGATTGATATAACCATTGACTTACAAATAAATGGACGACGGGTATAATACAAAAACCACGAAAAAAATGTCCCAAGTCAACCAACCTATTTAAACGTAGTGACATGTCAAGGAATATGAAAAAGCTAAAACGTTGGATTTAAATTGTAATGTCATCGCAGTACTGTCTAATTTTGCTTGCTTCGCTGTCAGTCGAACAAACGAAGACTAAAGCGTGACTGATGCTCTGTATACGATTTTAACGCCCTATAAGTTCGGACACTTTTTAGCGTGGACCCGACGTCCATATAATTGTAAGTCAATGGATATAACTAACTATCAATCTAATATACTGATTGTATCATGTACGTACAACATTTTATATAAACATTTTAGATATCGCCGGGGATAGTGCAAAGTCGCGTATGTAGCATTGGTAAAAGGCGCGCATCTACACAAAACCAAATTTTACAGGCGAAGGTTTTAACGTTATTAATTTGTTATTTCAATGGCCACAACTTTCATTTTTGTACAGAAAACATTTTTTATTTCAATTAATCATACAAAACAATGTTTAATATTCTCTAATTTAAACTTTTAAATATATAAATAAATAATATGAAAATAAATAATTGAAACAAAAACGTTACAAATTATCAACTTCCCGTCGTATGTCTATGAAGGGAAAAGAATTACAGACTATTGAAATCTCAACTAAAACTTGCATGAAGCAAATGAAGCTTTGGCAAATCTGTTTCCGTGTTATGAAGTACATATATATCCTGAGCAATTTCCGCCGGAAGTAAAAAATCGATCGAGTACGAAATTCAAATGAACAAGATGGCCGCCATACAAATTTCGAACCCTTCTATCGTGAAAACTATTAGAGATAGGCACGATGTTCTCGAAGGAATGTCATAGAGTGGTCAACTGCCTGTGTCAAAATTAATTCAAAATGGCGGTCGAAGAAAAACTTGCTTCGATCCGGCTGAAAATTGGCATGTAGGGGTCTTTAGGAGTCCTTAATCATAATTTGGGACGAAAAGTTTATTTTCGCCTTATTTTAATATGGCTGCCATATAAGTGCTTTTTTTTTTCGGTAAAAATTGCTGGTGAAAGAGACTTGCTCTGCTTCAGTTGAAAATTGTCAAGAGATGCCTCTAGAAGTGCCAAATAATAATTTGTACTCGAAATTGGTTTTTTGCCATTTTAAAATTTGCCCGCCATATAAGCGTTCGTTGGCGGTCGAAAAAAAATTGCTCTGATCCCTTTGAAAATCGGAATGTGATCTCTAGGAGTGCTTGATAATAATTTGTGATCAATATTATATTTTCGCCATTTTTCAATATGGCCGCCTTACAGGCGTTTTTTGGCGGCAAATAAAAATTTGTTCTAATTCGACTGAAAGTCTCCATGGGTGTTTAGAAATAATTTACGATCCAAACTTATTTTTCGCCATTTTTCAATATGGCTACCATACAAAATTTTTGGCAGAAGATAAAAATTTGCTCTAATTCGACTGAAAATCGCCATGTGGGTGTTTAATAATAATTCTACGGGTGTTTAATAATAATTTACTCTATGGGTGTTTAATAATAATTTGTAATCAAAATTTACTTTTTGCCATTTTTCAACATGGCCGCCATTAAAGAGGTATGTTAATTTTTTAAGTCATAAGTGCGTGTCCGTCAGGACGGCTGGACCAAACGAGATATACAAATCAAGCTGTGCTCATAATTTACTACCTATGTTTTGCTATATAGTACCTTTATTGACATATTTTCTACCTTTGCGTTGCGCTGACGGAAACATTAAAAAAAAATAAAGTGGCCAGCCGTTCTGACGTCAGGTTGACTGGACCACTTTACCTTTTTCATGGTTCTAGCAGTAGAATAGAATAGAATCATTTATTTCATATTATCAATTTCATAATATTACAATTCGAAATATAATGTCAAGGGATAACATGATCGTCATTAATGTAAATATTAATTTTATTGTTAATATAAAATAAAATAATACAAGTAAAGAAAAATTTAATATTTTCAAACTACAAACGTTCATAATTAAAATTTCTTAAAAGAAATTCCTTTACACTGTAGAATTCATTATACAATAAAAGGTATTTCAGTCGGGAACAAAACACTTCCTCTATATTATATTACTTACTTTATTTTTTTAATTTCTTACTTACTTCCTATATACTATTTTAAGAAGCTTCTATAAAAAAGTTATTTTAAGAAAATAATAATACGCCTTTGCAAAAGCTATGGTCTAAAAAGACAGTTTATCTTCTTTTTTTCCTTCACTATAATTAGTGAAAAAAAGTATGTTGAGGTACAAATTAGATAGAAAATAGTTATATAAAAAAGTTAATTATATACTGCTAGGACCGTGAAAAACGTAAAGTGGTCCAGCCAACCTGACGTCAGAATGGCTGGCCGCTTTATTTCTTTAATATTTCCGTTAGCGCAAAGGTGGAAAATATATCAATAAAGGTACTAAATAGTAGAAAATAGGTAGTAAATAATGAGCATAGTTTGAAATGTATATCTCGTTTGGTCCAGCCATCCTGACGGACACATAAGTGCCGAGGCCGTAGACCGAGGTCTAGCGGAGGGCGAAGCCCGAAGCGTCCGCACGCCACCACACCTTACGTAGGTACGTAAGGCACACTTCCTGGTGTAGTGGAAATGATACTTATAGCGTTGTTGTATCTCGACCGTCTCTCTGTGAGATTATTTTTTCTTGGACGCTATCACACCAAATTTCTGGTCTCAAAGTAGGGAATATCCTGTACTATGAGTACCAGAGTATTTAGATGGAGAGAGTTTCGTCTAAACATTCGCGATTATAGCCATTCCACGTGAGCGATAATCGCCTCGCCTATGAGTATTGAACGTCTCCATGTAAACAGAACTTGAAAGCAAAAATCGTATTTCGCGTGTTTGTGCCAGGCAGTCGCTACCATGAATGCAGTGCGCGTTGTTTTGATTATCACTGCTTTTGCAAGACAAAGAATTAATGAAAAGAAAACGAAAAGAAATGGGTTAAAAAATGTTATAAAATTAAAAAGTAATATTATATAACATTTCAAAAAATGTATTTTTATAAAGTTCAATGAACCTAATATCATCAGCAGTTCCAAACTTGAATGATTTTTGCACCATTTTGATATATCCATAGTCAATACCGCAGTAAGCACTTAACTCGAATGGCAATTCTCGTACTCAAGACGGTACGAACCGATTTGTACGATAATCGTTGAACTTGAAAAAAAGTTATGCGAGATCGAGTTTAGACGAGTCGAGAAAACATAAACAAGAATCTCCTTGCTAGTGGTTTCTCTGTGTAAACAATCGAGGAAGCGATTAAGTTGAATGCGAATCTCGTATGACATAATAGTAGGCGAGATTTTAGTTATTGCCTGTACGTAAACATTTTGACCGATAATCTTATGGCGATTATTGCTTGCGATAGTCGCGTACGATTTTTCGGCACGAAGCGTGCGATAAACTCTCTCCATCTACATGGGCCTTTACGATAACTCTGAGGGCTTTAGGACTGTGCTTTACGAAATGTTTGTTTCATAAATTGGCTCAAATCGGGAATCGAATCTGGAACCTCCTCATCAAGCGCCGATAGTACTAATCGCTGTGCCACCGAAAAGCATAAGCACACCCCGGAATCCGAAACCTGACATTGCCCCGCAGGCCGAACCCGACCCCCACCTTAGATAGAGTATAGGGCTCGTTTTATATATTGTCAATTCAGATAATAATTTTTACGAGTTATTATTATCTGGTTCCCGCCTTGTCGTGGCGGGGGGCTCTAGTAGCCGTGGTCGATTTCATTCCACGGTGAAGCTAAGAGGAACCCACAACAGCGCGTATCGCGCGGGCTCGTCTTGGGTCAGGGCGAGAGTCCGCGCGGACGCATGCGAGGAGGAGGGTCGCGGGGAAGAGACGTGTCGGTGTGTCGTTGCCGCGCATCCTGTCCTCCACGACTCTGGTGGGGCTGCACCGCTTAGGGTGTAGATGCAATGGCGGTGGGGCCGCGGGGGAAGAGACGTGTCGCTGCCGCTCAACCTGTCCTTCGCGGCCGAATTTGGAGGAATGGCCCGTGCAGTGGGTGCTTCAAAAGACTCCTTTGGGATAGTCCACGCGGATGCGCATAGGGTTTGCGGTGGAGCCTACCAACAGAGCCGCCGTGAGGGCTGGGGGACATCCTCTGAACTTCACAGTTGAGGAGATATTGTCCGGCCCCCATGGCGCCTGGATCGCGGACTCGGGGGAGTTCGTTGCCCCGCATGGACGGATCCGAGATGGAAGGTTTGTCTTGTGTTCGGCGAGCCTTACATTTGGAGTCGGGGGAACGTTGTGTCTCCCTTCTCGGGAAGGGGTTGCGCTGGGCGCGGTCAGCCCCTAATGCCGTGCCTCCACCTGCAGCGGAGAGGAGGAACACCCTGGGGTTTTGGTGCGGTCGGGCTGCTCCCCTTCAAGATTGAGCCCACTTTCACATAAAAATAAAATATATGAAAAAGCAGCACGAGCCGAGCGAGCATACTGAGCGTGTCTTGGCTACGGCCAGAGAGTGTCCGAAATGTATTTGTTAGCGTTTCGGCCAAATTTATTATTAGAAACTATGCTTTAGGTTAATAATATTTAGATTATAGGTTACATTCCACACTCCGAAATAATGTATTATATTATTTAATACATTATGGTAATACTTATACCATTAATTCATTATGTTAGTTAGTCATTATATCTTATGTTTGTTATAGTGACGATTTATTACATGTATATATAATTGAACCCATTGTCATTATACCACGATTATATCCTTTGAAATTATGTTAAATATTATATATAAAATTATATCGAGTGACAAAAAATCATTTAATTTTGTTGTTATATCGATCTTATCTTACCTGTTGCAAAGATCTAGCATGTTTAAGGGCAGCAGCAAGGGTATCAATTGCAGCTGCGGCCGGTGGTGGAGGTAGACCCAGTGCAGCGAGTGCTCGAGCTTCCATTTCCGCCCATACAAGACGGGGATTATAATTCACCACCATCATATTGTTACTGCCTGAGAACTCCACTACCGGTTTGTCAAGGGCCAGTTGGAGTGTGCCGTTTTTCACTTGCGCCTGAAAGATGCGTTAAGAGTCGATATTACCTGAGCTCGAATCCCAATTTTTCCCGTACTAATACGGTTCATTTTGCTTGAGTCGTGCGGCAGGGTCACTGGCTTTACTTCAGAATTTATTTTTTTACAAAAGAAATTAAAGCCATTTGACCAATGTACATCGTACACTATACGTGTTCTATTTAGTTCAGTTGATATAAAAAATAATAATTGGTATATATACCCATATATATATATATACCCATTGAATGCAGCGGTTTACTCATTAAATTTCGAGATAGGTTTTTGTTTTTTTTTCTATCGTGAAATTTGTTAGGAATCGTGTTTTCGCACCGTAATGTAATCAGTGTGTATCCTCAATTTTACTATATATTTATAATATCAATTCACGTGACGAACAAGTCGTTCGCCTGATGGTATGCTACGCCTGTCCATAACACTTGCAGTGCAGTGCATTCAGAGCTCTAAACCGCAAAGATCTGAGGGGCACTGCCACTGCGCCCGTCACCATGACACGTAAGTTGACAAGTCTCATCTGCCTGTAATTTCATCAACTATTATTAAACCAACCACCAATAACAACCACCAACTTTTATATTTTTTCCAAAGTGATTGATTCAACAGTTTCACTGTTACGGGGAATCAACCAAAGCCATTTGCGATTGTAGAGACCCTAAGTCGGAAACCATTGTTATTTTCAATTTCTTAGTGAATTTACATTTCGTAGAACAATAAAATATTAATAATAATTTGGTGTACTACGACGTCACTAACATGCAAGTCTCTTGACCATTCTTCGTGTAACTGGGTGTACATATTTTTGAGTTTCTTCAGCACTTGTTTGGCAAGTTTCTGTAACTGAGCACTCCCTTCGAATTCTGTGAGGTATTTTTGTGCACATGTTTGAATATCTTTAACCTGTAAATAAAATAATGCAAGTTTTTGCTTGCCAAATTAACAAATTACAAAAAGGGCAATGCAGATTACTCATAACAACATACCAAATGCAAGCAATGTTTAAGGTATCTGCCAACTGTCGATAGAATTATTTAATGCATATAGGCATATAAAAGGTATCTCAATAAAAATGCACTATTTAAATTTTGTAGTAGTTCAACTCATCCGAAGAACAGAGTTCAATATGATTATAATATAGCGAAAAGAGAATAAGTATGTTCCGAGAATAATTTCGTTATTCAAACTGAGGCCTATGTAAAGGTGTTTTGAGAATTTATATATCTTATTTCGTTTCGAAAATATACAATCGAAATACTGTTGATCTGACATCCACAGCGAAGAAGAACGAACTTCCTGACTATGTCGTGAGAACAAGTAGTCTTGCATATAGATCTTTGTTCTACGGATGAGTTTATTTGTGTCGTACAAGTGGCAACACTGATATTTAACAGCTGTTACCAATGATTGTTCCGATTATTCAAAATGGAACGCTAGACAAAAAAGAACGTGTTATTATTGTGAAAATTCATTACAAAAATGGGGAGAGTTACGCTGAGACCGCTCGCAAACTTAGCGGAATTTTTGATCTGGACGACATGTGGTTTTAGCAAGACCGCGCAGCGCCACCTGCCACACCTCGCATGAAACAATCGACTTCCAGACCAAATCATCTCACGAAATTCTGATGTCAACTAGCCACCAAGATCATGCGATTTAACGCCATACGATTTCTTTCTTTGGGGTTTTGTGAAATCTCGGGTCTATACGAATAAACCACAAACAATTCCTGAGTTTAAGACTGAGATCCAGCGCGTCATCGTCAATTTCATCAAAAGAGCAATGGCCTGTCACTAGAGCCGCGGGGTCATTTGCCTATTTAATGCAATAAAAATATGAGACATCGCTCAAAAAATACGTGTTTTTAAATGAAGTAGTGCACTCTTATTGAGACACCCTTTATATGCAATATATGATAAGAATGATAGTGTCAGATAACCATACCAAATGTCTCAAATTAGGAATCTGTTGTACTGTATCAGGGCAATAATTCACACTATCCAAAACACTCAAATCACAACCAATTCAGAAAAGTTCATTTCCCAAATTGGTTCTACCAATAATCGTACCCGGAACCACCTCCACAATGCTAACCGTTCGGCCCTTGGGGTCATCAAAATGTGACTGTTCCATCAGATATTTCTAGTCAATGAACACAAAAACACAAGGATCAGTACTAACTAGTCAATAACAAACCTTGGCTTCCATCTGTTTAGCCCATTGAACTTGTTGCACCAACGGCGACATTTCAGCTGGCTGATGCAACTTAACATCCACTTCATCTGTATCTAGTTGACTCTGTACACTTTTTAACATTATAATAAGAGATGTGACGAATATTTCCAACTCGTTGTTTAGTGCGTGCTTAACTAGCGGTCTTTCTATTAACGTTTTATATCTCATGAATTCATAGAGCATCTGTTAAATAAACACAACATTAATTTAAAGACTTTGACAACAAATTATAAGAAAATAGTAGTTTCATATATGATACTCTCGATATTTTGTCAACAAAATTTTTGAATGTGTAATCAGAATCACAAGTAAGTGCCATAACGGTTGCTTCAATTATGTTATATTTGGGCAACCTTTTATATACATTTAATAACAAATAAAAATAATTAGCCTATATATAGTCCCATTTAACTGCCTCTGTGGCTGAAAGGTTACCATGCCGGACTGCCACGCAGAGGTCCCAGGTTTGATTCCCGGGCCGGGAGAAATATTTGTATGGCCTACATTTATTTCTCTCGTGAGTTTGGGTGTAATTTGTGGTTGTCTGTGTATGTGTCCATGGCACCCGCGACACAGGTTTTCCCTGTGTTGTAGCAAAAAATGCGAAAAATTTAAAAGTGCAAGTCCGGATGTAAACCCTCTCTGTTTCAAAATATACATTTTTCAGGGCTATAATTATACAATAAACTTGAATGTGAAGCCTTTATTTTACCTGCTTAGTAGAAGTGTTATGTAGACGAGGTTTTAATTTATCAGCTATTTTTGCTTCAACTGGTTGCACATTAGCTGAGAATTTCAATAGTGCCATGTCCCACGCCTTATTAGGTCCATTATATAACCATACACTTATGTCTACAAACAAAATATCTATAGAAATCAGGTACAAACTCCACATATGCAATATACTTAGACTAAGTAATTAAAATTTACTTTGAAATGGTTCTAACAGTTGATCACTTCCAAGTTCATTTCTCTCGTTGTTGGATAGAAGTTTGTTCAGCTGGTTATGTGTGGATCTTATATTGTAAATCTGAAACAATTTTATTACAATTTATACTTTTCCCAATAAAATTTGAGAACAGCATGAACAAAAATTATGTGGATTTTGCAAAAAACGAAGAAAAGGATTCATGTCTGGTAGTGACGAATCCAGATGCTATTATTTACATTTACACTGACTTACTTCTGTCAACCTTTTCTCAAAATTCAAGCAAAACGTTGGTATATAGACAATTCCAGTCCATGGGTGGAGAGCATAGTTAGGCCAGTAAGTTTCAGTTAGTGAAGCACAAGCGCTAGTCCAAGTCTGTACTACTTTCAAGCTGTCAGATAAAAGTGTCAATATCACTTTGTCCTGTGAGAAAGTGTGCACCTTCCATAATTCTACTTCTGAGAGAACTTTTTGAATAATGGAACAAATAGTGTGACCTGAAACATACACATGTACAATTTACTTTTAATAACAATATTTACAGTAATTTATTACATTTATTTTAAACTGTTAGTACTTGAATACATCTTTTTAGTGATGTCTTAATAATATTATTGGTTTAGCAATTACAAGTTATGTAAATACATTATAAGATGTTGGATGTTCTAGTGTAAACAGAACAATATTACATAATAAGTTTACTGCCAGATTCAAGTCAATACGTACCTACAATATCAAAAGTATGAATCATTCTATCTTGCGAATAAGATACTGTCGTAAGTCGCCAGACGTCGTCTAATATACCACCAATATTCTCTGCAGCCTCTCTAACGTCCGGCATAGAACTTGATTGCATTACTCTGAAAATGATATTAAGAAGTTTATTTATGTTAAATGTAAAGGAAACTTTATTCAATAAAAACAGATATCTTTTAGATCATAAAAATTACTTATTCAAAATGTATTAGTTCAGGTTTATTATTCCTTAGATTATAAATAAAAACAATATAATATAAAACAGGAATGGAATAGGGAGTGAGGAGACCCGTTCTCAGCAGTGGGATATACATAGGTTGATACATGCTAAAATATCATGTTAAATGTAAAGGAAACTTTATTCAATAAAAACAGACATCTTTTAGATCATAAAAATTACCTATTCAAAATGTATTAGTTCAGGTTTATTATTCCTTACATTATAAATAAAAACAATATAACATAAAACAGATATAGAATAGGGAGTGAGGAGACCCGTGCTCAGCAGTGGGATGTGCATAGGTTGATACATGCTAGATATATAAGACAAGAACAATTTTTAGCAGCATTTTCATTTCTAATATCAATCACTGACATAAGAGGATGTTACAATACCTTCATCATACAGTCCGTAAAATGTTACCCATATTATAATAGTGCTACCATAGCACAAAAGATTTGCTTCAAAAATGAGGTAGATACTGCATTCAATACAAATTAATTTAGTAATATACTTATAGAATGAACCTCTACCTTATTTCACCACTGATATCTTCGAATAGTTCACAAATGGTTAAAGCTCCTTCTCTTTCTTTTTTACTTGATTCTTTTCTCTGAGCCACTGTGTTCCAATAGTCTAATTCGTCGCTTATAGAGAGTATTACTGTAACAGCACAGAATTATTGTTTAAAAAAATATTTATTGCTATAACAAAATATTGTATGCTAAAACAGACATCTCTATATATGTAGATGTCTGTTTTTACATATTTGTGATCTGTCTAAATACAAATTTCAGAAGGCAGTTACTTGAGCATTAGATATGGCACTGTAGTAGATTGTGAGACTGTTTATCTTTAAAATATATTTTGTCATTTTAAAAGTTAGTTTTTTTTTATTTAATTTCTTCGCCAGCATAGTACTTTTTTTAAGCCAATAGCGATATTGCTTCATTGAAACAATGTATATTTTTGTATTAATCTGTGGATGATGTGGTTGATTGTACAATTAGCTGTATAGTTATTCTATTTCTTACTATGTAACTCACCTTGTACAATTGTTTGTCATTCCTCAATTAAATGAAATTTCAAAAAAATATCTGCTTTTTGTATAAAAGGGATTAATCAATTATAATTAGAATGCATTGAGGAATTACTTTGTCTAGTACTAAATATATGACTAGGGGTCCATTCTTATCTTACCACTGAGACTTTCATCAGCCTTTTCATGAGTCATAATCCTCAAATTAGACTCCAACTCAGCTAAGTTCTTCTGTAGTTTGCTGGAGTATAAGTCATTTTCCTGAAATTTAAACCCAAGTTTGAACGACATTCATGTAAAGTTTCAGTCATATAAAGTTTGACAATGACATTATAAATTTAATTTGTATTTTACTGGTACAAATTCACAATACAAAAAGTTATATTATCTAGAAACTCAAAATGAGAAATCCATTAAGTTTTCTCCTATATATTTTATTTTGAGAATTAAAAGTTACTATTTTCTACACTTACTGCAGACAGTAACGGTGAGTAAATCTGCCTCAGTATCTGGTACAAAGACTGAGCAGCACTACTAGAAAGAGTAACAATATTTATGTTCTTGACTGCATCTTGCTCAATCAGTTCTTTGGCAGAGTTTTTGTAGAATATTATGGATTTCTTTCTGTCACCTTGCATCTGGAAATGAGTAAATTACCTCAAGATATTTTCTATATAACTGAATATACATAAAAAAATAATGCTGGGTATACAGTGTCACACATTGCATCACCAAATAATACAGTGGATCACTACTAATAATAACATATTCAATATATCTTCCTCAATTTTTTAGATATCATTAGGAAAAATAGTAATGAACATAAACTTACTTTTGTGTAAAGAAATAGTTCATTTCCGTTTTCAGTAAATCCATGCAGAAGAAGGACTTGTGCATTGTTAATAAAATTTGCTAGGGCTTCCTCAGACTTGTTGTTTAAATCCAAATTTGACTTACTGTAATAGTTACCTGAAATAAATATATTTTAAATTAAACTGATGATTTCCAATGCTCATGTTTCATTTAAAGGAAAACCTAATAAAAGTTAATTCACTTAAATATGCAGTATACAATTACTTTAACACATTCAACTGAATAATAGGTCGCCTAGATACTAAATAGTCCCAACAAACGAAACCTACTTATACACAGGATTTTAGAACAAGAGAATATTTATATAACAATATATCTTGCGTATTAGCATTAATAATAATGTATTCTTTCCCGTCAATTAAGATAATAAAAAAGTACTTCTAAAATTATATCACATTAAAATGTTGAAAACTAAATATGTATTAATCGAACAATATGTTAATTGCAATGCGAAGTTATATCTTTATTCACCAGATGTATTCAAAATAAATTCTCGTACGTAAGCCATCCTAACACTATTACTTATTAATTATCAACTTCATTCGTAACATTTTTACAATTCAATTAAAACAACAATTTTAGAGACAACCAATTTTCACAGTTCCCCGGGTTTCTGTGGACTCTTTTTGACATTGACATTTACATGACATATCTTTTTAATTTGTGTACAAGACAACCGTCGCCATGACAATAAGTCATGTTGAAAACCAATTGAAAACTTGCTTGACTGAAGTTTTTATTATTAGGGGTTAAACATTGACTTATGGGGTTAAAGCTTAGAGGATGGAAAAAAATAAAAGAAAGGAGCTGCCCTAAGTACAGAATCAACGTGCATATTACCAAAATTTGAAAGTTACAAATGGCGGATTTCTTTAGTGTTGTACCATAATCTATCGATAAGTCATTATCGACATGCAAATGTATGGCTTGAATTTTTGTTTCTTTAGTTTACTGTAACCAAAGTATGCCTAAACAAACACAAGTCTGATAATTTAATCTCGAGTGGTATATTATTATAAATGTCAACACACAATTTTAAACTTCAAAAAAAATTTATTTTCAACATTACAACTGGTAACTTATTTAGTAAAAGTCACCAAACTGCTGTGCAGTTTGTTGGCGACATGCGCATTCTTGCTTAATTATACCTACTTTACTTGTATTTAACATTACGTAGTATTAATTGTACTTACTAAATAAAATATAAAAATTACTTTAAGAGGTACGCCTTTAACCTACATTTTAGTACATATTTACATAACGTCTTTTAACTAACCGTCAAGTAGAAGTCTATTCAGGTTTCTGCGGATTCTAGTATTCCCGTTAATTCCCGGGCTTTCTTAAGCAAATGAATCTATCAAGCAATTTTAACACAGAAATAATGGAAGTAGTTGTAAAAATCAATTATCGGAAATCAACAATTATCATGTACTAGCTTTTCCTCACGACTTCGTCCGCGTACAATTTTTATACAAATGAAAAATATTCAAGTATGAACCAAATCGCACCACGTGTTAAAAAGTTACCATACAAACTTTATTACCCCATTTCGCCGCATTTTTTAAAAACTGTCATGCCATTTTTTTACCATTTTTATTGTAAAATATTTATGCAAAGTTTCGTCTTTGTAATTTCAAGGAATATTATTTTTCATGCAAACGTTTTTAACCGTTTTCGCCCTCTTAGGGGATGAGTTTGAAAAATCCGTTCTTAGTACTCCTTCACTAAATAAAATTAACATACCCTCAAGTTATCATGTTCCAGTACTTACAGTTTTTGCTATGCGTCCATCTACCAGTGAATTGCTCTGGACCGTACTCCTTTAAATATGTATATAGATTTACAAAAACCAAATTATTTTAAAAAATAAAAACCCGACTGCAAAAAAATAACTGAAAAGAGATAAACCTATGACAGCCCCACCAATCAAGACGAATCAAACGACACCTCATATCTCAAAATCCATCATGCCATTTAGGCTGTACAGCGTGAAAAAGAAATTAACAAACATACACTCAAAAAACATAGCTCAATCTAGTTACATTTAAAGTTCTGTTAAAATTTGACTCTTCAAAATGAAGCGAACAAATGAAGATGGTCTTTGATCCAACGTTTATATTCGGCAGTCCTATGATTTCCAACCATTCTATCTTCCTTTTTTCATTTGTAGGAAAACTTGAAATAATAATAATAAAACAATAAAAACCTCATAGTGAATTGTTTTAATAACAGAATATCGATAATATGTATGCTTACAAGACAACACTATCTCAAAATAATCGTTAACAACAATCATCAAAATATACAAACAAACAGGCAATCTAAAGTAACAAAAGCAAAATTTGGCAAGATTTATAAATAAACTACTTAAATAAGTCTAATTACATAAAATATTCGGGCTATTGTGTGATTTATAGACAAAAAAATAACACATGCCTGTGCAATGTAACATTCGATTGATTTGCAGTTTTTCTAAAGCCGCATCCTTTAATGCTGCAGCGTCGCATTTTTATTAATACCTAATTATTCTCACTGTCAATATTTTTGTCCAATTTAATTATAATACATGTGAATAATTCAATAATACATTTGGAAAAACATTTGTTTTGACATTTGATGTACTTCCCTTTGACAACGGTATCATGTACCTCATGTACTTGAAATGGCCACGGTTGGCATTTAAAATGACGTTACGAATTTTCGATTCCCGTGTTTGACACAGACCAATGTAATGCTATCTCTTTTGGCTTAAGACGGCACGTAATAGTTAAACAAAGACAATAATATGTTTATGTTTTCGACGTCGAAATGCATCATATACATATAACGTCTGATTTGTATATGTCAACGTAACATGTCCTTTAGTTTCCAAGTTTCCATAGTCTAAGGGTTAAAGTATGAAATTGCCGTTTTATTGCAATAGGTTCTTTGAAT